AGAAACTTTATTCCACATTTAAATGTCCTCATATGCAAGACATTTTGATGTGAAGATTTTTTGCAATTATTGCCCTTTTTCATCTATTCATCTATACTATGTATTTAAAGTGCACGGTGCCTTTCATTAAATGTGTCTCACCGTCAAGTTATGGGGGAGCGTGGGGTATGTGAGCTAGCTCACTTTTTCTTTCATTTATCCAATTTCTGATTGTTTTTAGAACTCATTTTTGGGTATGACCCTTAGTATACCGGAAAATGACAGATCCAACGATTTCCTGGACTTGTTTTTTTCCTTCTGAAAGGTGTTTTATTCAAGTTTGGAAATAGAAACAAGTCAAATGGTCAAAGATCTGGCAAATATTGTTAATGTGAAAAAACATTTACTTTCTGTTTATCCCGTAAACCCCTTTACTCTTTAGGGCATTCGGGTTTAAACACTGTCATGAAGAAATTCAATGTAGTGGATTCCTGATTCTGGGTCCTTTCTCTGATAAACCTTTCGATTTCTTTGCATAAAACTGCTTTCTAGACACCTCCAGATATTAAACTGTCTCCTCGAATACAAATTTGAACAATAATACCACTAATATTTAAGAAAATTGCATATAAATCTGATTTTGTGCTCTTGCATACCTTTGCTCTTGATAGATCTTCGCCGTTTTTATCAAGTACATCTTATGGTAAATTTTGTTTTAATGGTTTTAAGCAATAGATTCATGTTCCAATATCTGTTTGAATATAAAACAAACGTGGATTACCACAATTTGTGATATTTTAAAATAATTGTTAAGACTTTTGCACACGCTGTCGTTTTCACTCATTTTTCAAAATACAGGGTGACCTTAGAGTACCAAGCTTAATTACTGTCAAACGTTTCTTAAAAACAGTAAAAACTACTCCCGATATGATGTCTATCAAATTTGCTATGTGTCTTAAAGTCAATCAAACAACATCAAATATTATTTGTTGAAATTTGGCAAATAGTACATAAGTTGTTATAATTTTTGTTGGCAAGGAGGGTACCCATTTTTGATGCCCATTATATATTTTTTTATCTTTGAAATCCACTTGCTAATTTGTCTATAAAACAGGTATCGGTTGCTGTAAATGTCACATATTTCAGTGAATATTTCTTTAGGATTTTTAACAAGTTTTACAGCAGCTTTAATGTAGCTTTTATTTTCACTTTAGTTTTACTGATTCTTTTCCATTCATTCATAATGCAGTGTCTCGAATAGCCTTTGTTTCCCAGCTTCTCTAAAACTATGTGATGAAAAGTAGTCACATAAACTTTTGTAAATTCAATAGAGACTCAATAATGAGAGAAAGTCAAGCTTTATGTCATATGACTACTATGTTGTATGTCATCGAGCTAAAGACATTATTTATTGAACGCCCCTCGTATTTGACATTTCAGCTAAAGCAAATTTTACTGTGAAACTTGAAAAGAGTGAATATTGTCATGCTTATGTAGAGTATTTAGGTCATAAAGTAGGTCAAGGTTATGTTACACCCATAATGGCTAAAGTGGAAGCTATTGCACAGTTCCCGATACCTACAAACAAGAAAAAATTAATGAGGTTTTTGGGCTGGATTTTACAGAAAATTTTGTCCAAATTTTTCCTCAGTTGTTAGTCCACTTACAAATCTTTTACAAAAGAGGATTAACTTTGAATGGACAAAGGACTGTGAAAAATCATTTCATTAAATCAAATCTGTTCTTATGAGCAACCCAGTTCTGTCAACACCAGATTTTTCTAAGCACATTGTTTAAGCTTACTGTTGACGCTAGTGATGTTGGAATCGGGGCAGCTTTGTTTCAAGAACATAGTGATAATGTAGATAGAGTTGTTTCTTATTTTTAAAAAAACTTACAAAATTTCAACGAAATTATTCTACCATTGAAAAAGATTGCATTGCTTTTTTGTTAGCTTTACAGCATTTTGATGTTTATTTAAATGTTACTTTGCATCCTTTTCTTGTATATACTGATCACAACCCCCTGACTTTTTTACATAAATTGTATATATTGTCAAACAGGAATCAAACACTGACTAGATGGAGTTTGTTGTTACAAGAATACAATTTAACAATTAAGCATATCAAAGGCAAAGACAATGTTATTGCAGATGCCTTGTCAAGAATATCGGAAAATATTAGATTTTGTATTAATGTACATGTTTACAATTCAAGTTTTTCATTGACATACATACTTTGAAGGGGGGGGGGGTGTTGTGAGGTGTATTTTTACTGTAGCATCATGTATATTATTAGTAACATTAAGTTCCTTGAACATTCCAGAGTGGTCAACGTGTTCGGTCATTTTTTCTGGAACATTCATGAACTTTGTGTATGTCCAGAATTTTCCAGTAGTATCATGTTTTAACAACTTCTAGAATATTCTAGATTTTTGATGCTGTATAAATACCTTGTCAATTCGAATCATAAAAAAACATTTTCGTATATGCACCATTGAGGTACAACTGGGATATATTTTCACTGGGACATTGTGTGCAGCAACAGACACTCTGATTTATGTATTTTTAGATTTTTGCTAAGTTTGTACTTTATGTTTCATATATTTATTATATATTACTGTAAATAAAGTATTGTACGATTGATCTTTGCTGGCATTTAGGGTTATTCTGACCCACAACAATATTCATGTTCTGTATTGTCAAAATTTTAAACAATCCATGGTGTTTGAATTATTTAGACTTTATTAAACAGTTCTAATAGATGTAATAAGAACATAAAGTCCGCTGAGAACCTATTTCATACGCTATAACTCACCTCATGCCCCTGTGATAAAAATAGCGACATGTAATACTATAAATACTAATAAAACAAACGGAGCGGGGCACTTTGAGAGGGATGATAGAGGTCCTAGGGAGTTTTGGTATAAAATTACATTGCATAAGGTCAAAATCTTCTTGAAATATCGCCCGGAAATAATTGTGTTACACACAGACAGGATGTATAAATTTACGACCTTGAACTTTGACCTTTTGACCTCAAAATCAATAGTGGTCTTTATTTGGTCACAGGGAGTTGTTATGTAAAATTTCATTGCACTAGCTCAAATGGGTTTTGATATATCGTGTGGAAACGAAAGTGTTATAACAGAGAGAATTTGCTTATTTATGACCTTGACCTTTGACCTTCTGACCTCAAAATCATGAGGCTTCTTCTTTATTCCATAGGGAGTTGCTATGCTAAAGGACAAGATAGGGTAAGACCAGTACTTTGCCCCCGATTTTGGGTGTCTTTTAGAATGATCCAACAGTTTATCCATAAAAACCTGTTTTCACCCCTGCAACAAAATGAATGTTGGTTTTAAGAATTAGAGTATACAGGGGTCACAGTGAGGTCAGGAAATAAGTCAATTTTCGAAATTTCTTATTTTTATGCAAAATTTCATGAATTTTACAGCATATTTTCTTTCGGAAAACATAGAGCACACGCTTGCCTATCTATCAAATTTATATATGTTATACACTGATATCAGATGCAGTATATGTGTTAAAATCTCAGATAGGCAAGCCTGTGCTCTATGTTTTCCAAAGTGAATTGTATCCCAAATATGACAAAATTCCACCAGAATTGAGAAAATTCAGGAAAATGTCCTATTTCTGCACCCTTTAGTGGCTTCCATGTAAGCTTTGAATCAAAATTAGTGCTTGTCTTAAAGTTAGCATCATTTTAACTTCTTAATTAACTACAAACTATCACAATTTTACCAATGTTCTGATTTTTATATCAAATAAGGGGCCAGATTCGGCTGTTACCCTATCTCGTCTTTTCATTGCAAAAGTTCAAAGGGTTCTCGAGATATCGTATGGAAACGAAAGCGTTACAGACAGCTTGACAGAAAGACGGACGGACGGACAAACCCAAATTAATATCCCCCACTTTTCAAGCGGGAGTCAATTTGCAGAGGCATAATATAAACGGAATTTTTCGTTGCTGGGTCTCTAGATTTCTCACAGGGGTTAAATACCAAACCCGTGATGTCATAAGTGTTGATCATGCACTAGCAGAGTGAAAGTGAAACGTAGGGCCTAACAAGAATTCATGTAAACAAACACAAGAAATCTGAGTTTAAAAGCATTTAGAATAAACATCATGACTGTGTTATTCATGTGGTAATAAAGAATATGACTAAGGTCTTTGGCAAAGAAGGGTTTCCGGAGAAAAAAGGTTTATATATAGGTTTTTTCACTTATGAAAAAAAGTCAATGAGAGTGATCTCCCGTATGGAATTCTCAAGGCGCTGAAAACAAAGCATACGTTACAGGCTGAGTAGGTAAAGGTAAGTTTTGATTGGCCAAAAATAAAATAAAATTTAATATTTTTTCCCGTGACTAGGTTGTTACAGCAAATTTAACATTGTACGAAACATTTTTTCCGGATTTGGTTTTAATGTTAGATTTTTCCGGATTTGGTTCAAATATTATAATTTTTCCCGCGAGCACGAGATTTTTCACAACTGTTGAAATTGTTTACCAGTATATTTTCTAGTCACTGTGCTGATTTATCATATTATTTTAACTTTTCTACGAGAGAAAACTTCTAAGTTGGTAAGTTAAACATGAAATCTATTTGTATATTGTTGCAGAAGAAATTTTGACGTGCATTATTGTTGTAAATCATATGTTTACGAAAGTGTTTACAGTTTACCTGTTAGGTGTAATTCTTTTTTACGGACATGTTAGAAAGTTCACATGAAAGATTTTTGATTTATGACTATGTCTAGGAAATTTAGGCCATAATAAGTTGATATATGTAATATGATATTGAAAACTAAAAACTTGCTGTAATTTTTAGCATGAAATTATTTGGTGCATGTGCACTCAGTAATAATCGTACATTTTGTTGAGCATTTTCTAGCGATTCTTTTGAAATTGTGTGATTTGAAAGTAATTAGAATTTCATATGTGCTAATTTACTAGGGTACATGTGTAATATTTATTGAAAAAGTATTGTTTACAAAGAATATAGAGTATTTATTTATAATTGAGAGTGATGTTAACTTGTCAATTGCTGAGTATGTGGTTTATGAGTAATTTCAAGTACTTATTTATGTTTTCTATGTATTTACAGTAAATCACATCAAGTCACGTCACATCACATCATGTTACGTCATCATACATGTCGCTGTCACTGGAAATAAAGATGTGCATTTACAAAAGGAGTTAAATTCTCTGTCTATGAACTTACATGATGATAGTCAGTACAACATTTACAACTTAGAAGATTCTTGTTCATAGAAGTTCAGGAAAGAGGCGTCATGGCAACTGGTGATACACGAGAAGAGTCAAGACTTCAAACCTTAACAAAAAAAGGCTTGGAATATCAGATGGACAGAAAATCTAAGTATCGACGAGCATGTGAGGGTGCACTTGTAGCTTTGAGTGACAATATTCAACAGTTATTGATTACATCAACAGATGCGAATGAAGTGAAAGAACTCCACAAGAAATGGTTGAAAGCTTATGATGAACTGTTATATTCTCACGAAAGTTTTCAGGATCTTTTGAAACAGTCTTCTGAAGATGAAGAAAAAGATGACAAGGAATTCCAGGAAAGGAATAAGAGATTTCAGGAAGTGAAAGATTCTGTGGAACAGTGGTTCGCAAAACATGCAAGAGAACGTACACCAAGTCAAGTATCGTTTGATGCAAAATCTGTGAAATCCAGACGGTCACATTCGTCAAAAGCTTCGAGTCAAATTTCCCTGGAGAAATTAAAAGAAGGTCAACGAAAAGCAGAATTGTTAGCCAAAGCATCAGCGTTAGACGAACAACGAAAGTTAGAAGCAGCCAAACTTGAACTGAAAATGAAAGAAGAAGAGCTGAAAATTAAAACTGAGCTTAAGATAAGTGATGCGAGAACCAGATTACTAGAAGAACTAGAAAGAAGTGAGCTGCATGACCAACAACTGGAAAACTCTCTCATCAATGAAAATCAAGACAGGAATGTGACTTTTCATCTTGATCCTATGAATGCGCTTGCAAGTGAGATCTCTACTCCAAATATAAGTCATCGACCTGTGCCACATATTGGTAATTCAGCATTGCTAACACCCATACAGGATTTCAAACCTGAATCAACTAGTGAAATTCAGACTGTAGCTCGTGAATTGAACAAACCAAAGGCTGAAATACAGAAGTTTGATGGTAACCCTATGAACTACACAAAATTCTTAAGACAATTCAATGCTAGAATTTGCTCCAACACAGACTCTTATGAAGAACTTTTGAACTTTTTGTTACAGTTCACTGTTGGTGAGGCCCAAAAAATCGTAACTGGTTATTCATATCTGGATGCGGAACGTGGATACAAAGCGGCACTGGAAGAGTTAAAGGATCGCTATGGTGATCCTGATATCATAGCGCAAGCATATGTAAAGAAAGCGCTTGACTGGCCAGTAGTGAAACAAGAAAATGCAAAAGATTTAGATCAGTTTGCTATATTCCTGCGTGAGTGTCAATATGCAGTAGAAAACATTGATGCGGGCCGTGTTCTGGAATATTCTGAAAATTTGAAACTTTTGGTAAAAAAACTCCCATTTTATCTTCATGATAAATGGCGGAACTGTGTATATGATCTGAAAGAAAAGAAACTATCAGTGAAATTTTACCATCTGGTCGACTTTGTTAGGAAAGAAGCCAAAAAAGCAACCGACCCCATATATGGAAAAGAAATGATGAGTACTCCAAGTACAGCCAACAAACGCTTACAAGACCACAAGAAATCAGAGACACGTAAGAACTTCACCGTGAAAACCGATTCAAGATCCATGAGTGATAACAGTGCTACACAGATGAAAACATTTTCAAGACAATGTATATACTGTAAGGGAGCTCACTCATTAGATATGTGCTTAAGTATCACTATCCTACCTCTTAGAGACAGATATGCATTCTTGAAAACAAATGGGCTGTGTTTTTCTTGTCTAAAATCTGGACATCTGAAAACTAACTGTCGACAAAAGATGTCATGTGCTCACTGTAACAAGTCTCATCCTTCCATTCTTCATGTTGACCCTAGACAGAATGAAGAACCAAACACTGCTACAAGAGAATATAAAGCTAGTGAAACTCCGTTGTCGGCTACGTACGTCATCTACAGTTCATATGGGGGCTGGTAAACAAGCTTTACCAATTGTGCCAGTCCGAGTCAAGTCAAAGTTGAGTGACAAATACGTAGAGACTTATGCTTTCCTCGACTCCGGAAGTAATGCAACATTCTGTTTGGAGAACATTGCCAGATCATTGAAAGTAGAAGGAAAGAAAATGAACCTTGACCTCACAACAATGGGACATCAGCAAATAAAGACTTGTTATGTCATTTCCGGCTTAGAGATATGTGACATCAGTGGTATGAATGTGTTAGAACTTCCGCCCGTTTACACACAACCTGTGTTACCTGTGTCAAGGACAGATGTCACTTCACCAGAGGATATCAAGAACTATTCATACCTCAGTGATATTGAACTTCCTGTAATTGATGGAGATGTTGGACTTCTCATAGGAGTCAATGTGCCGAAGGCAATGGAACCTTGGGAAGTTATACCCAGTATTGATAATGGACCCTTCGCTATGAAAACCTTGCTAGGCTGGGTAATAAATGGACCATTGGAAATTCATTCCAATACAACAAATAGATTTGTATCTGTTAATCGCGTCGATGCGAAACCAAGGATCCGCTTTGAGGAACAGATCCGTGATCAGTTCAACCATGACTTTAATGAAAGGACTATTGATGATAAGTGTGAGCCCTCAAAGGAGGATAGAAGATTTCTAGAATGTGTGTCGAACTCGATTCATTTCGAAGATGGACATTACATAATTAGCCTTCCATTTAAGTCAGACAATGTGTGTTTACCTAATAATAGGAAACAAGTTGAACAAAGACTGACGTCACTTCAGAAACGATTTAGTCGTGATGAAAATTTTCATGAAGAGTACTGTGTATTCATGAAAAAGATTCTTGATGAAGGATATGCTGTGAAAGTGCCAGATGAGAAACTTACCCAGGCAGATGGACGAGTGTGGTATTTACCTCACCACGGAGTATACCATCCTAAGAAAAAGAAGCTGAGAGTTGTATTCGATTGTGCAGCTCGATACCAGGGAAATTCATTGAATGATCAACTGTTACAAGGACCGAATCTGACAAATACTCTGATTGGGACACTCCTTAGATTCAGACAAGAAGAAGTTGTGATTATGGGAGACATCGACAGCATGTTTTATCAAGTGAGAGTTCCGGACCAGGATACAAGTTTCCTCAGATTCCTTTGGTGGGAGGACGGAGATCCACGTAAACATGTCATTGAATATCAGATGATAGTACACTTATTTGGTGCGACATCATCACCAAGTTGTGCAAACTATGCATTGAGGAAAACAGCACAGGATTACAAAGGACTCTACAACACTGAAGTCATTAACACTGTTCTCAGAAACTTTTATGTGGATGACTGTTTGAAATCAGTGAAAACTGTGTCTGATGCAACTTCTCTATTGTTTGATGTACAAAATCTTCTTATGAAAGGAGGATTTCATATTTCTAAATGGATTAGCAATAGAAGAGAAGTAATGAACTGCATTCCATTTTCTGAGAGAGCTAAGGAGGTTAAAGACTTGGATTTGGACAATGACACCCTTCCCATTGATCGAGCCCTTGGGATTCAGTGGTGTGTAGAAAATGATGTTTTCCGTTTCAAGATGGACATTAAAGACCAACCCTTGACGAGGAGAGGTATCTTATCCATGACGAGCAGTGTATTCGATCCGTTAGGATTTTTGGCCCCATTCACCCTAAAAGCTAAGTGTTTACTTCAAGAACTCTGTAAACTTCAGCTAGGATGGGATGAGAGGATACCAGAGCATCTCGCACTACAATGGAATGAATGGATACAAGATCTAAAGAAACTCTCTGACTTTAAAGTGAAAAGATGCTTTATACCTGTGGAATTTGGAGAAATAAAATCTGCACAGCTACATCATTTTGCGGATGCCAGTGAACGTGGCTATGGAACCGTGTCGTACTTAAGACTAGAGAACTTTAATGGTGCAGTGTATTGTTCTTTCATTATTGGCAAGTCTCGTGTTGCCCCACTGAAACAAATTACCATTCCTCGACTAGAATTGACTGCGGCCACTGTTGCAGTTCGTACTGATAAGATGTTGAAGTCTGAATTAGATGTGTCGATAGACGAAACTGTGTTTTGGACGGACAGCATGGCAGTCATACGGTACATAAGAAACACCGCAACTAGATTTCACACTTTCGTTGCAAATAGACTCGCCTTTATACATGAAGGATCGAAACCCCAAGAATGGAGGTACATTAACACTAAACGAAATCCTGCAGATGATGCATCGAGAGGCATTTCAGCAGATGACATACTGCATGGACGCTGGATCCAGGCTCCTGAGTTTCTATTTACTCCTGTTGATTGTTGGACGGAGGCACCTGTAGAGGATTCACACGAAGCACTAGTCAATGATCCAGAGGTGAAGGAGGTATCAGTGAGAGCGTCAATAGCTGATGTTTCAAGAGCAGAGACAGGTGTTGATAAACTTATAAACTACCATTCGTCCTGGTTTATGTTACGAAAAAGTGTCGCATGGATATTGAAGATACGCAATGAACTACTGTATCGTATTAGACAAAAGAAACCTAGTGTCAACTCTTCAGAATCGCGAGCCAGAATGACACATCTATCAACACAAGATTTACATAAAGCTGAAATTGCTATTTTGAAATTCATCCAAAGAAAGTCATTTGCACCAGAAATTGACGAGCTGAAGAAAGGACATCATGTGAAACTATGCAGCAACATCAGAAAACTCGACCCTATTTTAGATGATGGACTAATTCGTGTTGGAGGTCGGTTACACAGAGCCAACATGCCCTTAGAAACCAAGCATCCGATCATCTTACCTAAGGATCATCATGTGTCAAATTTGATATTAAGACAGATACATCATGAACTGAAACATAGTGGTAGAAATCATATGCTTTCTATGTTAATACAGAAGTATTGGTTGATACATGCACCTTCCTCTATCAGGAAGTTGATTTCCAAATGCGTAGTGTGTCGTCGCAAAAGATCCAAAGTCGGAGAACAGAAAATGGCTCAATTACCAGAGGATCGCTTAATACCTGACGAACCACCATTCACAAGAGTGGGAGTGGATTATTTTGGCCCTTTTGAGGTGAAGTTGAAGAGAAGCCACGTCAAACGTTATGGCGTAATATTCACTTGTCTTGCCAGCCGTGCCGTGCATTTAGAAGTTGCTTCCTCTTTGACTACAGATTCGTACATCAACGCTTTGCGTCGTTTCATTGCACGTAGAGGTCAAGTAAAGAAAATCCGGTCGGACAATGGGACAAACTTTGTTGGGGCAGATCGTGAGTTACGAAACTCAATTAAAGACTGGAATGAATCACAGATTCACGAAGCAATGCTACAGAGAAACATTGATTGGCAGTTCAATCCCCCGGCAGGATCCCATCACGGAGGCGTTTGGGAGAGGATCATCAGGAGTGTCCGAAAAGTGATGAACAGTGTTCTAAGAGAGCAGATTTTGGATGATGAAGGACTCGGTACACTCATGTGTGAAATAGAGTCGATTCTTAATGACAGACCTATTACCAAGAGTTCGGATCGTTATGATGACCTGGAAGTATTGACACCAAATCATCTCTTGTTGATGAGAATGTGACCGCGTGTTTTTATCAATAAAAGTATTACTTAATAAAAACCCATTTGAATTACTGTTTTTAATTTTTGTCCATAATTTGTTTCCATACTTAGTATTAAGAAAGGGCGTTTGTATATATTTATTACACTAAGGCTTTTCCATAGTATATCCCATTTGGTCAAGCATGCTATTCATGCATGGATGAACCCAGGTATTTGATTGGATACTCTGGTAAGAACTTTACTACTGAAGTATTTTTAGACACTTTCAAAAAGATCCTTGAATTGAGCAGTGTGTTAACTGACTCTAGAATAATTTATTGATTTCAACAGTTTTGACAATTTCTGAATTAGACCTTATGGACAGTGGACAATATACTAAACAGGTCAGTTTATTAACATTTTTAACATAATTAATTATGAGCATGCAGTGTGAAAGTTATGTGAATGAGATTTGAGTAAAGAGTTATTTTTCATGAGTTTTATACATTTTGTCAATAATCAGTCAGACTTACTTTGTGATAATTTATTATAGCTATGACTGACTGAGATGAGAATACCGGTTTACAGATCAGGTTCATATACCATATATTTGGTAAGATGTGTGTCTAGTGAAGTTTGTGTATATTGTGATGTTCTGTTTGTGTTGTAAATAGAATTTCATTTGGATACAATGAATGGTGATGATAGTGAAAAGTAAATTATTTTATGGTAATGAATTTGCATATAATATGATGCATGAAATACTTTACGATCTTGGAAAGTTATGAGGAAAAATGTAATTATTTCCCTGAGCAGAATATTCAGTGTTTTATGCTATGTTTGTGTATGTGTGTTTGTCTGTGAATTATTTGTTACATATTTTATTTACAGAACCTTTTGTTTGTTTGTTTGTAAACAACATGACCTGGTACTGATAATACATTGGTGAAATGAACCCTGAACTTCTCGTTGTTATTTAAAATCAACGTCTACAAGAAGACAACCGAATTTACCACCTGGTGTATTTACCGAAACGGACAACTACTGTAGACGTCGTTGGAGGCAAGTCCAGTATATGGCTAATCTCTTTTGGAATCGATGGGTGAAAGAATATCTACCGTTACTACAAGAACGTCAAAAGTGGCATGAGTTGAAGAGAAACCTGAAAGTCGGTGATGTGGTCTTGGTTGTGGACTCAAACGCTCCTCGTAATTCGTGGCCCATGGGAGTGGTTCGTGAGATTATTCCTGATCGTTTTGGATTGGTACGTCAAGTTAAAGTAAAGACTGCAACAAACGTTTTGACGCGTCCGATAGATAAACTCTGTCTTGTTCTGGAGGTGGACGAACCTTGATTGTGAAATTATATGTATTTTCATGTATTGTTACAAACTTTTGATTGCTTTTCCATATACATGATATGTGTAGCTTATCGTGGGCATGTTACATTTTTGTTTTGTGCCGTCTTACATTTAACATACATTTGATTGTATTATATTGTTTATAATTGTGTCACTTAATGTTCCACAATTAGGGGGCTGGATTGTTACAGCAAATTTAACATTGTACGAAACATTTTTTCCGGATTTGGTTTTAATGTTAGATTTTTCCGGAATTGGTTCTAATATTATAATTTTTCCCGCGAGCACGAGATTTTTCACAACTGTTGAAATTGTTTACCAGTATATTTTCTAGTCACTGTGCTGATTTATCATATTATTTCAACTTTTCTACGAGAGAAAACTTCTAAGTTGGTAAGTTAAACATGAAATCTATTTGTATATTGTTGCAGAAGAAATTTTGACGTGCATTATTGTTGTAAATCATATGTTTACGAAAGTGTTTACAGTTTACCTGTTAGGTGTAATTCTTTTTTACGGACATGTTAGAAAGTTCACATGAAAGATTTTTTGATTTATGACTATGTCTAGCAAATTTAGGCCATAATAAGTTGATATATGTAGTATGATATTGAAAACTAAAGACTTGCTGTAATTTTTAGCATGAAATTATTTGGTGCATGTGCACTCAGTAATAATCGTACATTTTGTTGAGCATTTTCTAGCGATTCTTTTGAAATTGTGTGATTTGAAAGTAATTAGAATTTCATATGTGCTAATTTACTAGGGTACATGTGTAATATTTATTGAAAAAGTATTGTTTACAAAGAATATAGAGTATTTATTTATAATTGAGAGTGATGTTAACTTGTCAATTGCTGAGTATGTGGTTTATGAGTAATTTCAAGTACTTATTTATGTTTTCTATGTATTTACAGTAAATCACATCAAGTCACGTCACATCACATCATGTTACGTCATCATACATGTCGCTGTCACTGGAAATAAAGATGTGCATTTACAAAAGGAGTTAAATTCTCTGTCTATGAACTTACATGATGATAGTCAGTACATAGGTGGCAGTTTGATAGACATGAAGCGGCACATTCAAATATGTAATCATTCGCCAATCAAAACTTACTTTTTTATTAAGTGCAGATAAAGCGGAAGTAAGGCAGAATTGCGAAATTCTTAGCCACTTGCAGGTATAAAAACATCTTTTTCTTCGAAGGAACGGCATTGGAGCGGAACGAAATGGTACATATATTGATAGTAAGCTATACGTGAACGATTAATCGCGTCAAGTCTTCTGAGAAAGGCCCACAATACCCAAAACCCGAATTTGCCTCAAAAAGAGTGTCCTACCCTTCTTTTTTTTTTTATACATGCACATACTATATATTTATATTAACTTCCAGTGCCCGTGCATTTTCTTGGTAAACTAAAAGCAGTCAGGGAGTTTACTTGCCGATCAGCCTTTCCTCTGTCGTTCGTAACAAAAAGACGCAAAAGTTCAACACTACGCCGCACACTTTAAAACTTAATTTTTGTTTAAATCTAAACACTTTGGAAGAGGAACTTTCATCATCATTTATATGTATTAGAATATTTGCATAATACCCAGGAAAAAAGAAAAATATTTTAAAAGAAATAATGCATTTTCAAGTTATATAATCATTAGAGCCCCGCCCTGACACCAAAAAACCTGACCCTGGGAACCGGAAATTTAGAAATCTGAAAGAGGCATGCTTCCTCATCAAACATGTAACTATGTACATAATTCACTGGTTCAATACCCAGGAGCATAGGAGAATATATTTTTAACAATTAATGTATTTTCTCTCTAGTATATAATCAAAAGACCCCAACACTGACACTAAAATCCCTGACCCTGGGGCCATAAAGTTAACCATTTTGGAAGAAAGGTCTCTCGTCATCATTAATATGAACTTCGAACATTTGAATCATACCCATGAACAAAGAAAAAAATTTTCAAATAATTAATGTATTTTCTCTATATAATCATAGTGCCCCGCCTTAACACTAAAAAAAACTTACCCTGGCGCCACGAAATTGAGAAATCTGGAAGAGGCATACTTTACTCATCATAACTATGTACATAGTTTACTGGTTTGATACCCCGGAGAAGAGGAGAAGCATTTTAAAGAATTAATGTATTTTCACTATAAATTCAATAACCCCTCACCCTTACATAAGAACCCCTGATCCCCGCGCCATGAAATTAAAAATTTTGGAAGAGGTAGCCTAATTCTACATAACTATGCACTAGTTAAGTTTGTTAAAAACCAAGGAGCAGAGGAGAATATTTTAAAAGAATTAGTGTATTTTCACTTATAATCAATAGACCCTCAACCTAACTCAAGAACTCAAACCCAGAAGCCATGGAATTCACAATTTCGGAAAAGACATTCTTGCTTATCATAACAATGTACGTGATGAGTTGTTTAATACCCATGGAGAAGCAGGGAAGCAGATTCGAATCCATGCATTTTCACGATAAACAATTTATAGAGCCCCGCCCTAACACTATAACCACTGACACCCGGGCCATAAAATTCAATATTTTGGAAGAGACTGCCTTATTTAACACAACTATCTAAGATTTAATTTGTTTATTAAGTACACAGGAGCAAAGATTTTTTTTCAAATAAATAAATGCATCTGTCTATATAATTTATTCAGCCCAACCCTAGCACCAAGGAACCCCTGACCCTGGGACCATGAAATTCACAATTTTTGAAAAAGACAGCCTTATTCAACAAAACTATGTACTTGTTACATTATTTAATGCCCAAGAGCAGAGAAGAAAATTTTCAAAGAAATAATGCATTTCACTTTAAAATCTAATTAGCCCCACCCTAGCACTATAACCCTAACCCCAGGGTCAGGTATTTCACAACTTTGAAAGAGGACCCAATGCTGATTGCAATAATGTAAACAGTTTAACTGCTTGATGTTCAGGAGTAAAGAATCTGAATTTTGAAGATTGAATTAATTTTATTGTATTGATCCAACCCCTCAGGCCTGGGGGGGGGGGTTAGGGACTATAAAATTCACAATTCTGTTGTTCCCCTTCAGCCACAGATATGACAAATGTGGTTGAAATTGGTAAAGTGCTTGCACAGAAGAAGATTAAAATGTTCAAATGTTAACGCACGACGACAGACAAAAACGGATAACAATAGGTCACCTGAGTTTACTCAGTCGACCTAAAAAGACAACAGGCAATTTCAAGGACTTGTGGTCCCCAGCTTTCGGTGTCTTTGTGGGTGAGATGTCATTTTTTTATTATACAATCTCTTTAATATGAACGCTCTATCATATATCATTTAGAAATTATCACTGAAGTTGTTTTTTTTTTAAATCAAGATGTATTTGTGAAACACTGATGCCCCGTATGGCAACATATTTAGGATTCAACTTTTGTTAAATGCAAAAATAATATATATTGGTTCCCAAAGAAGGGTCTCCTAAAAGGAAACGCAATTATAAAAATTGAAGGCCCTATAATCATTTGTTCCGAACTTATGGCCAAATTAAAGGTTTTTTCATAAGTATAGAAACTTTAAGACCAAGGTTATTGGTATTCTTTGAAAGGTCTTTTCATAAAGAATACATATGTGAGGTATGGAAGCCCTAGTCCTTCCAATTAAAAAATTATGTCCAAGGTTAAAAAGATTTTAAAAGTAGGTCAAACTCTAAGATCAAGTTCAGAAGGTCAAGGTTATTGGTATTTAAAGAAATGTGTTGTCACAAGGATTACATATGTGGAGTATGTTAGCCCTAGCCCTTAAATTAAAAAAAATATTGCTACATGTATGTTAATGTTTTTTCAAAAGTCCGGAAAACTGTAAGGTCAAAGTCAAAAGGTCAGGGTTAGTGGTATCACCTAAAAAGTCTTGCGACAAAGAATACATAAGAAGTGTAATATGAAATCTTTAGCTCAAAGCATTCAGAAATTGTCGTCAAGATTAAAGTTTTTTCATAATTACAAAAATCTCAAAGGTAAGGAATTAAAGGCCAAGGTATTTGCTATCCAGTGAAAGTTGCCATATAGAATACGTATGTAAAGTATGAAAGCCCTAGCCCTTACCATTCAGAATTTATGACCAGGTTAAAAAAAGTTCAAAAGAAAGTCGAACTCCGATGCCAAAGGGTTAAAGGTCTTGCTATCAAATGAAAGGTCTTGTCAAAGGTATTAAATATGTAACATTTAAAGCACTAGCCTTTACCCTTGGAAAGTTTTGATCAAGGTTTGATTTTTAAAAAGTATGTCAAACTCCAAGGTGAAGGTCAAAGGGTAAAAGTTCTTGGTATCTAATAAAAGGCATTTTCACAAGGATTATAAATATGATGTATGAAAGCCCTAATCCTTTTCCGTTCAAAAGTTATGGACAAGGTTAAATTTTTCACAAGTACGTAAATCTCCAAGGTGAAGGTCAAAAGGTCAAAGTTGTTGTTATCGAAGGAGAGGTTCTTCTACAAAGAGTACATCTGCGAAGTATAAAATGTCCTGGTATCTACTATTTAAAAGATGTAGCCAAATAAAGTTAGGAATTTTAGTCGAAAAGTTGGTCAAAATCCAAGATCAAGGTCAAAAGGTCAAATTTGGTGGTACGCAAAGAAAGGCTTTGTCACAAGGAATAGATATGTGAATGATGAAAGTCATATCTCCACTAAATCAAAAGTTATGGGCAAGGTTAAATTTTTTGCGGACAAACAGACAAACATACAGACAGATAGAGAGACAGACAGACCGACGGACACGACAAAACTATATACCCCCGAAACTTCGTTTAATACTTTCGACTAGCATCAGTCAGCATAAAAAAAAAAACAGCACCATTAAACAAAGCATGAAACAAGCATAGCCTAACATTAACCTCGGAATTATGCCTCGGAAAAGTTTTGAGTTTCATGTACTAGTATTTCGATTAAAAAGCGAGAAAGTAAATTGATTTTTCATAATTCAAAATATTGATATATTATGAACTTTGCATGTCATGAAAGCATCGTTGTGTAAAACATTTTTTATTACTTTCAAACTGCTATTGTGAAATTTAATTATATACTTCTGGAGGCATAATACTACTTCAGTATAATTGACTTATGTTTACAAAAAAAGTAGCATTAAGAAAATTACCGCACAACAACTAATCTGTTTTATTGGCTGATTTAAAAAAAACTGGATGCTGGAATAAATTTGTTCCCTAAACTATGTAATTAAATGTTATATTTTCAAGAATAAACTAAATCTTACTTGCAAGCCCTCATCTTCGCTAGCCAAGGATTCCATTGATTCATTTTTTGCAGACGCATCTTCGTCTTCCTCTTCTGAGTTCCCATCTGTATCTTCAGAATCCTCAACTGTCTCTCCGCTACTTAATCTAAGAATGACAACTTATAATCATACCGACAAATTGTTTAACAAATTCTAAAATCTATATGCAGTTAAACTTGACCTAAATGACGAATTGAAGACCGACACAAGTCGTGTCAAATACATACAATCATATAGAGCAGCATTTCTTAACTTTTGTAAAGAAGCTTTAACGAATTCGGAATTTTG